CCTGCGTGTGCGAGCGCCGCTGCCCCGCTGCGCGCCCGGAGCACGCCCCGAACCCCTTCCCTTTCCTGCGGAAGGCCTGCTGAAATGGCGGCGGGAAAACGGCCTCACCGCGCCCCGGGCCGTGGCGGCAGAGGGGTCGGCCGGGCCGGCAGTGTCGCCCTTGCTGCTCTGGGCGGACTGGTGGTGGTGCTGGTGGGAAGGGACCTTTGTGTGACAGAGGTGTGACCAAGAGTGCCTAAGTAACGGTCCTGAACCGTGGGCGGTGGACTGAAAGCGGTTGTGTGTTTACTACAGATCAGAGCACACCTCAAAAAAAATGGGGTGCCTTGAGATGCTTCGAGTGCGTGGAGTGAGACTCCATACAGAGACACCTCATCTCCCTGAGACGTGTCTACTCAGGCTGTGGAGCCTGCATGCTGCTGTGCCAAGGAAAAGCCCAACTAATGAAGAGTTTAAAATCAGGGAATTGTCCTGGGGGCAATTGGAACAGCACACTCATTCCAGCAGAGACGAAGCAGGGGTATGTCATGGTGTGTATTTTACATCTGATACAAAATAGAAGGAAGGGTTACTAGTGATACATAAAAATGCTTTCTAAATTAAGAGACAAAATTAAGGAAACGAACATTAACATGAAGAGAAAGGCTTTCACTTCAGAGAAGCTGAAATGCACCATGCCTGGATCCTCATTTTTGTTACATTCACAGAGCCCTTTCTTTGTAGGCCTTGGAGACAAGCGTGCCTGGTATGCAGTAGGATTGCATAGCTAAGGGTTTGAGAATTAGTAAAATATTTACATTGTAGTACAGACCACTAATGGACAAACTATTATTAGATATTTCATTAACTGAATGACTGTACTGACAAGAACTGCCTAATTGTCTTTCTTCCAGGATATGAGGTGCCTCAAGGATAGCACAAGTTCCCTACACATTAGAATAATAAATCTAAAATGCATTAATGGAAAATATCAAATATTAAAGTAAACCCACGCAAAAGTAAATTTTTTTATATCTTGGTTATTTTTTTAATGACCTGTTTGTACACAGAGGGCAGAACTGACAACAAGAACAAACAGTGACCATTTTAATTAAAATTACAAACATCTCATTTATAATGGGCTGGTTTTAGGGGCTCATGGAATTTTTAAAACTCGTGGTTTTGGCTGAAATTGTAATGGCTGATCTAATTGAAAGCAATGCTGTAGTTGGTACTGTTGGGTAGAAAGCCTATTGAGTTAGTTTGAGGGAGAAGAAAACGGTCTTCTAGTTAAAAAAATCCCACAGCCTTTTTCATTTTTGAAAAATCAGGAGGTCAAAAAATCTCACACTTGGCAACAGGAGTCTGATGAGGTGTATCCCTAGCATGAAAGCCGCATTGTAATTTATTTCAGGTCTGAGAGGGCAAAGAGACTTCATCTACCACCCTGCATATTTGAGGACAGTTGGACCAAAAGATCAAGATTCAACGTTGGTGCCACCACACTGCCACCCAGCCTCGGGTTTTCCACAGCTTTAAGTTTGAGCTGGAGCATCTGAGGAGCCCCAGCAGTGACAAATGTGGTCAAGTAGCACCTAATGTCTTTTCTGCCACGTGTTAGCCTCTTTCCTTCTTTTGGGGCAGTCGAGCCTGGTTTTGGAGCAAGCATTATTATATCAGAGTAAATTTAACATTGTTGCTTTATGAATCTGGGTAAACCTGTCTGGGTTATTTAGGATCTGTGCTCCCAGTTCACTTGGCTGATAGTGCGAGCACTGTGCTGCTGAGAGACTTTTTGGAAAGAATTGGATATTTGTTAAGATCCCAGCTGCTTTTAGTGTGCTGCTGTGTATAATTGACTGTAAACATTTCCAGCAACATACACAAAATTTCCAAACTAAGATCATCTTTATTACAACGTAGGCTGCTATTATGCAGTCGGTACTCTTCAGCTGACCACTAATGGCAGCTCTTTGACCTGAAATTCAAGGGCACGTTTTCAGTGTCTGTCGTTCTCCACATTTAAACTCAGCTCATTTTTGTTATTTCAGTGTCATTATCCGCTCTTATTTCCAGTCCTGTGTGCTTAGTCTTATCAGCTATAGAGCTAGTACATTGTTTATAACAGAAATCCAAGATATTTTCCTTCTGCATCAGTAAACCCGATAAAATATGTAAACTCTCTTTTCTCACATTGTAATCTTTAGCATAACAGCGTGACAAGTCAGCTTAGCTTATGAGGTGTTTACTGTCTTCCGTTGAAGCCTTTTCCCCTTCAGTTCCAATGTTTGTGTTCTGGCCGTGTGAGGCTATCGGCAGTCTTTCCTTTGCTGGGGACTGTGGCCCAGAGGAGGACTATAAGCCATTCTAAGGCTGACAGCATCACATGCAGAAGCATTCATTTGTGCGTCATGTAAAATATGACTTCAAGACAAACCACCATTGTATAATATCTGCCTACATGCATAATGCTGTATAATTATTTCCAGTACACTTAGTATCATGTATAATTACTTCCAGTACGCTTAATATGAAAAAAAGCTTCTCTAAACATACAAGCATTACTTTGGATAGTGTTACTAGTTTAGCTTTGTACCAGCCCCAAGACTTGACCAATTTCTCTGAAAAGTTCAAGGGAAAGTCTTCTGGATTCAACTTGGAAAAAAAAAAAGTTTGCTAGAAAAGCATTTTGTGGGAAAGAAATATCTCTTTCTGAAAAACATCCTTTTCCTAAATTTAGCAACATGAAACTTTTGTAAGAGTAGACTCAGCCCAAATTCCCCTTAAACCCTTCTTTTGCTCCAATAAGATGTGTTTTATAACTAGGTCACCTTATTATTTCTTTATCTCAGGAACAGCTGCTTTTCAGTCCCAAGCAGGGACTATTCCCCATTCCTGAAGCAGTATCTACTGATCACAGTCATTTATTTGGGAAATGTGACCAGGGAATGTGACTTTAGTACATTTTCAGTATGTTGGGTGTTTTTTCTTTTTCTTTTTTTTTTTTTCTAAATTTTGTGTTAAGTTGAAGCAATTGGCGTAATTGCTCTAATTAAACTGTATGTCAAGTTACCCAGCTTTTCTTTTTTGTTCTCCCTGCTCTGTTTCAGAACAGGAACTTAATGGACAAACATTGCCTTGTATGAAAAGGAACACAAATTGTCTGCATCAAGTTGTAAAAAAGAAACATTATTTATTTTTTACAGAGGTGTAAAAATTGTTTCCAGGTGAGATTCAACTATTTGTTTATGATCTTGTTGCAGCATAATATGTTGTAGCCAGAAATGTCTGTGCTAGGAAACAAAAATTTTTAAGAAATAAAGATGGGCTGAAGTTACAAAATCATAGATCTTACTGATCCTTGCCTCGAAAACCATTAGAAAGCAATCAGCTGTTAGAATGTAGGTGAAGATCGGCAGGAATCTGGAAATGCTTTACATTTGGAATAGTTGAAGGAAAGGCCCATGGACTTTTAAGTTGGACACAGTAAGTTGGTGGGAGGAGAATATATGACATGACATTTTCCAAGCTAACTTCTCAATTAGTGTATGAAAGACACAATTGTGATTTCTCAGTATTGCTTTAAAACTTTCTTGCTGTCACCTGATATGTGGAAATGACTGTAGTAGGATTAAGTTCTGTCATGAATCTGAGTTATGTGTTTCTGGGTTTTTTTGTGGTTTTAAGAGTTGGAAGTTTTTACTTCAGTAAGGATAAATCGTGCATTTCAGTCTATAAAGTTTCGTGTGTTTATGTCAAAAGTGACAGTCATTGCATTTTTTTATCACTTTGGTCTGTATCAGCATATTCCTTTTGCAAAGAACTCGTATTTCTAGTTTCTTAGTAGCTCACATGTTCTTTTGCTGTGACTGTACACGATAGGTGATTATGGTGCCTTGATTGACTTTGGCATACCTGATCATGTCATGAATGCTGCTGCTGGTAGCAGCAGATGTTGTAGTGTGTGAGTTATTCTGTGTTCAAATTGCTGAGCTGCTACCTCTGAGTAGTCTAGTATGGTGACTGATGCCTGTTTCGTTCTGTTCACCTTTTCTCCTGCCACTACCTGTTCCCTTGGAGATCCCTTCTTCTACCAGTTTACCTGTCACTGTGTCCTAATCTCTTCTAAAGGGGCTTTTGTTTGGTGATGCCCACAAGACACAAAGTACTTCCAAAAAAGTAAGAACTTCCAAATTATTTCCAAGTTTATTTTCTTTCCATCATCTTTTAGGATGGAAAGTATATTATAGGCTTATCTTTATTTTCTTTTACACAAGCTGACCTAACTGTTTTTGTCTTAGTAGATAACAACTGTGTAATATAAAATAAAAGAATGCCAGATGCTTAATAATGAAGCAGAAGACAGACTGCCTTCTCATCCTCTCTGCATGACAAATTGTTTTCTTTAATGCATCATTTCATTCATCATGAGTATCACAAGCAGAAAATTCCTGTTTAGGCATAAGATAAGATAAACAATAGAGGCACAACCTGAAATGGGCTGTGTGCAAAGTCCTTCCAAAGACTGTTGATGGCTAAGCTTTACAAAGGACTGAATTTGAACACGTGCGCAGTTTAACAAAGCAACTGAATTCCTTGGTTACCACCACAGGCAGGAGTGCAGGTCTGTGCACTTTTCTTGCACTGAAAGAAGATACGTGAAAAAGTCCTACCTACCTCCCTCATCAATTTCTCTTCAAAACAACTCATAAACCCCCAAATACTAGTTGAATATTAGTTGGAGCATTCAAAAATTAGTTGAAAAGTGAAATAAATAAATAATATTGTCTCTTTAACAGCTGCCTCATCTTTCTTGCCATACACAAACTGTAGCATATTTATTTTATACAGAGAAGTTTATCAGCTAATACTAAAATACCTATCCACAGTGAAAAAAGCAAAAGTAGAATTCCTAAGTAAGATGCATTAGCAGAAGCTCTGGTTTTAACACCAGTTTTCAGCCTGAAGTGTTTTCCAGACTGGGAAATAACAGCAGAGCCAGTGAGCTGCTGCGCCAAGTACACCTCAGGCCTCCCGTAGCACCTTGCTGCTCTCCTGCCTTGGGGTGGGCCATGGTGGGTAGCCCACTTAGAGGTATATTCCCTTGCTTGGCAGCAGCCTAGAGTCACAAGCTTTTCGCATCCAGGGAGAAGTTCGAAGTGTCCTCATGTAGTGAAGTGTCCCTGCCAGAGAAAGCAGATGTCTCATATGTATGTAGATACCTACTATGAATCCCCAGTTCTGTACCCACATACATTCAGCTCAGGTCCAGCTCAGATACTGAACCACTACAGTATTAGATCTGCAAAACTGAAAATACCACAAATTTCCCAAGACAGTATTTGTTTTCTCCCCACTTTGTGTATTTGTTCATTGCCCGGCAGCTTTTTGTGTGTTGCAGTTCTGTCTCCTTTCATCATTCAATATTGTTACTGTGCTGTAAGTTACGGTGAATTGATTCCTTGTGAGAGTAGTCAATATTTACAAGATTACTCATTCTGTAGGCTTTTGGTCATGTAACAGTGAAGCAAATGGGAATAATCCTTTTGTATTTTAAATGGCCATACTTACAGGTGTTCGTACCTTAGATAAAACAGCAGCAGGAAAAAACCTAACCTTCAGGAAGAAAATGAGATAGCAGAGTAAGATTTGATAAGAGTTTTTCAAAAACTATAGTGAAAGCTTTCCAAGCCCCTAAGTCCAGAGTCTGAAAAAATGATCTGATTTGAACGCTCAATCTTTTTGTCAATTTGAAGCCGGAATGGTCTCTCATCTATTGATTTTTGTCCAAGGTACTATGTCCCAGAGAGTAGCTTTAATTTCAAGAACTGCATCTAGTTAGACTGAGGCAGTCAGCAAATACTCTTTGGTACTTTTCTAATAGCCAGGGCATCATTTTCCTTAAATACTAACCCACTGTTCACATGGCAAGAAAAATAATAATTTACAGGCTTTTATGTAATAATACTACTTAGAAATGGCCATTATAAAAGTATTGAAAAGCAGTCTCAAGCCTCTGTTGAACGTCATACCTTAGTTCCTCTGGCTTTTGATAGCTAGTCGAGACTAATCTATTTTCAGATGTAATATTACACCAAAGTATTTTGTTCAGGAATATAGTAAAAAAAACCCCAGGATACGTTAAGAAGCAGGAGTGGAGAAAATAGTCCCCTAGTAACCACACACTGAATAGTCTCCAGAGATCAATTATATCCTCCTCAGTTGCAAGTTTATCTCCAAATCTTTACTTACAAAGTATTTTTCTCAACTACTTCATATTGTATATTGTGTATAATCTACTTTATATGGAGCATGAAGTTCTACTGAAAACTTGAAAAATACTGGCAATGCATTCTCCTTGTCTCTTTGATAAAACTGGTTGTTTGGTGATTTTCTAAAGGTTTTAGAGATCAGTGCAAAATCAAAATAGTAAGATGAAACCTTGAAAAAGGAGAGCATTGAGAGAGAATCTCAGTTATTTGTTATATTCTTTGTAGGTAACCGTTATCACCATTCATACCTCCAAGGTGTTTCCACCAGACAAGTACTTCTCAGGGTCTCTCTTCCAGAGAGAAGTTAGAGATGTTTTGGAGACCCCATTTCAAAGAGAAGCCAAACAGAAGATACTGAAAATGCCTTTTGTGAATTTTCTCTAGGCGAACTAATTGATACCATTTAAAAAGTTGGCTTAGTACTTAGAGTTATAGCACTTTTTAATATGTTGTTATTTTTAGCACCTTTGAGGAACTGGCAAGTGCTTTAGTGTACAGGTAGATAAGCTGAGGAGCAGAGATGTCAAGCTGCTTTGGGTGGGATAGAGGATGCTTAGTTTAAGTACCTAGAATAATTATAGTTTACCTTATTTGTAGCCGGGGTTTGATCCAGTTATCTTAGAGTAAGAGCCTCAGTTTCCCATCAACAAAATTACTGCTTAAGAAAGAGTAGTGACAGCTTACCGTGGACACTAGCAATGGAGAGCGACGAGCCTGCTGGTGAGGAGAGGCAGTCTGGAGATGCAGAGCCCTCGGAGTCAGGACACGTGTTTTCCCTCCCTGCTCTGCCCTCACCACCATGACCCCCTTTGAGCAGGGCCCCTCAGGCAGTGAACTGGGCAGTGGTTTGGCAGAGATGTTTTTTTGTCCCATCCACTCTGCTTGCATAGTTGTAGCTAACAGGAGCTAGGTTAGTGGCATTCCTGCCCTATGCCAACCTGTAAGTGCCCATGAAACTGTGTTCTTGGTGGGTTTTAACTCAGAAGGGAGTTTGAGACAGACAGAAGCACCAGTGACTGGGAAGTGCAGGGGAGAGCACCAGGTCAAAGAGGACTGTTGAAAAGGTCAGGACTACTGAAGGACCTGTTGATCTGAGTTGTGTATTCCCTGGCAAACCCCTGACACGGGACTCAGACAGGGCTGGTGACCTCCTGATCTCCCCATGCTGAAGGGCAGAGGAGTGGGTAGATGAAGTGTGTACTCTGTCTTCCCCCCTTCTCAGACTCACTCCCTTGGGAGGGTTGACCAACCATATTCTCCTGGCCATTCAACAGCTGATACTACAACTGTGATCATAAAATAATAAAGATTGCAAAAACCTTTTAAAATAGTGTTACACTTCTATATAATTGAATCTGTGTTTATAACCTTGCCATGCACAAGGTTCATGTTTCATTTGTTTATATTCCCTGTTTCAGCTCAGGCTTTGTAATATATATATATATGCCTTTCAAGTGACATACAGGAAGACTTTTACTTAAAAGTATGAAGAAATAGTTAAAGCTGAGCAGGTGAGGTAAGAGTTGGAACCCAAACCATGCTTCACATTACTAAATCCCTCAGGCTCCATTATGCTATTATTTGAGGTTTATAGAAAATAACTGCCTGGTTTCTCTCCTATGCCTGTAAATGATTATATGCCTCACATTTCTAACCCTTGCTGATACTGCCAGTAACAGTAATACAACCTCCATGTGGTAACCCAGTTATTCACATCCATATCTTCTTTAATCTTTGTCCAAATCCCCATTTCTGCCAAAGAATGCATCAGGCACCAAGATAAGACTAGGGGAAATGTAACCCTTGACCTAAAGAACCTGTAATGTACTGTAATGTTTTATCACGAGAACTGTACTTTGCACAGTTGTGTAAAAAAGCAACCATCTGCCTGCCAAACCCTTAGCGCTCCCACACTCAGTGACGCTGACACCAGAATTCACGGGTTTTGCCCGCAGGATTAGCTGCTGCCAGCTGGTTCTCCCCAACTCTAGGGTTATACAGTAGCAGCACCAAGGCAGCATTGCTGGCGGGGTTTGTGCTCTGCACGGATCCATGCACAGTGCAAAGGGCCAGAGAAGGCTGAAGGTTCGCTCAGCGCAGGCTTTTCTAGTCGTATAGCAGCAAAGATAGAAGGAAGAACAGCAGATACAACCAAAAGACTCCATGCACAAAATAATTCAGTCTAATGCTAGTTACTTTCTTCCTGGTCTTTGATGTGGGAATTACAGTACTTTATAATCTTCCTTTTAGTGTATGCTTGTGTGCAGATTTTGGTCATATGGATCATCCCATGAGAAACCTTTGTTCTCAGATTTCTCATGACTCCATTTCCACTAGTCTGCTCTAAACTTCCTTTTCATAAGAGTTGTATAATTCTGTAACACTCCACCAAGGAAAAGGCTTTAGCTAAACCATGAAATAGTTGTTTAAAATCCCAAGTAGAAACCTGTTTGTTACTATATGTAACAGAAGATTAAATTCATTAATAAGCATAGGCATGTTCCAAGTATCTCAAGAGTAAAACATGCTGTTAGCTAGCTCAGCAAATACTAATGAAGCTGAAATGCCAATCTGCAAGTAGACCAGCTATGTCAACAAAGGAAACATTGGCCTTCCATTGAGTAGTTCAGGTATTCAAATAATTTTACATTCTGCTTCTATCTTTCTTTGGCAGCTTGTATTCTTGGATAGAGCTCAGGTCCTGAAGAATGGGTGGAATATGAGCTCAATATCTCTGCTTTCTCCCTGTGGGAAACAGTGCTGTGTGAGGGAGCAGCTATGCTGGCTGCTGTCTCACCACTGCTCCCACACACTGCATAAACATCACTGTTGGAAGGAGCCATGGACCATGGGCTGCAGAGTCTTTGGTGGTGTTACCACACTTGTTTCTCAGACTGTGTTGTAAAAAGCCAGACATGGTCCCAAATGACCAAGGAGGTGATGTGGAGGTTAGGGCCAGGTTCTCGAACTGGAAAGACATGCACAGCTCTCAAGGGATGGCTAAGTGCTTTGGAAACATCTCTAAACACATTCAATATCTGGTCTCCAAGATAGTTTTCTCCTGGAATTCTTTATGTTCACCATATATCACAGTATTGCTCAATTCTCTGAGCCAGACTATATAATTACTGACAGGCTGCAGATGGCTGTTAAGACAAGTCTACAGGGCACATAACAAAGAATTAAAGTGTCTGCAGTGAAGCTGCCACAGGTAAAGTTACACGTTTGGGCTTGATCTAACATCTTATTTCTACATAAAGGAACAGTTTCTGTGCCCTTCTTCCTGCTCTCCTCCTGCCTTGGCCTTCTTCCCCTCATGTGCACTGGCTTGTGCTTTCTGACCCTGCACCAAGTCAATTCAATTCACTGGAATCAAGAATATTAAACTGGAAAAAAGGTGAATTGTTTGTGATGGCATATGGACTTGACTCAAAGTGTGAACATTCTGAAGAGCACCAAAGCTAATGGAAAGGACGGGATGGGGCTGTGTGACTGGGTCTGGGTCTAGAGAAAGGAAGAAGAGGAAAAGGAAACAAGATCTTTATAGCAGTGGCAAGCTGGTTAATCCACTTTGTGGTAAAGTGCCACTACCCCTGAATAACAAGCAACGAAGTTCTGTTCATGCACAGTCCACCTTCATCATCAATCTGCACTTAGATGTTGTTTTCATTTGCCATTATGGTTTTGTCTTTCACAGAGTGGGTATAAGTGGATAAAGCTTGAGAGGTGGGCTTGTGCAAACCTCATGAAGTTCAATGAGGCCAAGTGCAAAGTCCTGCACATGGGTTGAGGCAATCCCATTCTATGATTCTATGAAAGCTGGGACTGCAATATGACAGATTAGCCAGTGAGACAGCAGCAACAAGGCTTTGCTCCAAGGGAAGATGGTCAATAAAATCTGCATATTTTATAAGCTCATCTCTCAGTACCCTCCAAGAGATAACAGCAATCTCTCTTGCCATCTCCATAGGACTTAGGTAGGCTTTCTTTCTCCATTTTTGTTGGTTTGTTTGTTTAGCTGTGGTTTTTCCTATCATAGGTTTTGGAAACAGATCAGCTTTTCATCTTCCTCTCAAAAATCTGTAGAGAAACTATGAAGCTAGACAGCAGATAAATAAATGACAATGAAATCTACAGCCCATGAATGATTTAACATCATTCAGTTGGAGGAAAAGAAGGAAAGCTAATGATTAGCAGCAACTAGTAATCACTCCAGTGTTTCAAAGTTTTTGCAGGTTAGCTCGGCATTTTCTATTTCTGTTGAAGTCAAAGACAGTATTTCCATTGGCTGCAGTTGGATCAGTTTTAATCTCTTTAAGTTTTGAACAGTCCTGACTTTCAATCTAAAATAAAAAAGTATGATATTTCAAAACTGAGTCAGTTATCTGATGTGTGGATTCATCATTCATTTTAACACTTATCCAACTGTTTCCTCATTCTTCTGCTGAGGTTAGTTTAAAACAGAAGACACCTCCCAAGCTATCCTCCCTTGAAAGGTCACTAAGGCTTTCTTTTCCACTTTTTAAGCTCTGTGTGAATGGGGCTTCAGACCCATTAAAAACAAACCACAGCAAGAACAACCCTTGTTCCTCACGCAAGAGCCTCTTGGGGTGAACACCTCAGTGTTTCACTGTTGCCTTTGGCACCGTGCTTTGTGCCATGTCATGTATGGCAGCAAATGGGGTGAATCATGCCAAAACACTGACAACCTCAGTTGTTGGGGAGCAAGGCAGATGCCTGGCTGTAAGTCACCGAGGGTAGCCAAGACATCCACACAGTGCTGCAGATAACAACATAGGACCTGTTGGACTCCCATGCCCTCTGCAGTGATGGCTGGAGGCTGGCTGGCCTATCCTAGACTACTCAAGAGGACATCTCTCAAGAAGACAAGTGATAGGACAAGAGGAAATGATCTCAAATTGCACCACGGAAGGTTTAGACTCGATATTAGGAAGCATTTCTTTCCAGAAGGGGTTTTTAGGTGTTGGAATGGGCTGCTCAGGGCAGTGGTGGAGTCCCCATCCCTGGAGGTGTTTAAGAGTCGGGTTGACATAGCGCTGAGGGATATGGTGTTGTTGGTAGTTGGGAATGGTCAGTGTTAGGTGAATGTTGGACTGAATGATCTTCAAGGTCTTTTCCAACCTAGACAATTCTGTGATTCTGTGATCTACATATGAAAATATGAATCTTTGTTGAAGGTCCCCTAAAGCTGGTATGTTAGGAAGTCATGGGTGAAAGAGCTAACCCACACAGAGAGCATATTTGTTGGTCTTCATGAACAGATTCTCCTCTGAAACCTTTCAATGGATTATGGGTTTCCACTTTAGCTTCTTTTTAAGAAACAGACTATTTGTGTTGCTTTTTTCTTTGATGTAGCTTATTGGACATCTTGGCAGTCTGAAGGTGTAGGCTCCCTTGTTGCAGTTGCCACTGCCTTACAGGCAGTTCTTAGCACAGTGCTCCTGGTGCCACAAATGCATCACTCATGCTGCCTCCTGAGAAACAGGAGGAATGGATGCTTTGCCTTATTCTGTGAGTTTTAGTTAACCTGTCCACCTTCAGGATCCTTTGCAGAGAGGTCCATTCTTCTGTGTGCGTTCATGTGGGCATTGGATATAGTGGGCAATTCTGGGATAGATCAGAGGGAATTTCAGGTTTTCAGCTTCACATTTCCCTGTGATACCTTCAGATATTCTGTAGGATTCTGTACTTTGCAAACATATCCTACAGTCCATCAGTCAGCCTGAGGACACTGGTGTAACTGTGCCCATTGGGAGTAAAAGACATGTATTTTCTGGGGTTGGGCTGAAACATGCTTCTCTCTGAAAGTTCTCTGCTGTGTTTGCTGCAGAATAGGGTCGATTTTTAGGGCTGAGTGGGGAATTTTCAAGGAGAATAGGAGTAATGCCACAACACAGTGAATGCAGCTGGACATGGCTGTGTCACACAGCCTGCAGGACACAAGATCTGAAAACTAGGTTTTCAGAGCTTGCATAGTCTGAATTCTTTAGTTTCCTTTCTCAGAGTCTTAGCATTCAGCTGCAACTGAGCTGAACTTTCAGAATAATGACATAAAATATTACATTTTAAATTTTCTATTCAGAGAGTGTAGAAGGACAGTGCTAATAAAAATCCTGCCTAGATTCTCATTAAGAAATCTCAGGTGTTCCTATGTACTGAATGAAGTAGGGATCTCTTGAAAAGAACATGATGCAGTAGTATCATTAAAATAGTGTATCGTAATATATATGCAACTCAGGGAGAAAAGGAGAGTTTACAGCCTTTGGAAGAAGGGGCTAGCCACTCACAGTGATTACAGAGGCTGTGAGGCTATGCAGGGTGGAAATCAGGAGGTCTAAAGCCCAATTGGAAATTAATCTGTCTTCAGCAATCAAGGACAACAAGAAATGTTTCTATGTCAGTAGCAAAAGAAAGTCCAAGGAGAGTCTCCATCCCCTGCTAGATGCAGGAGGAAACATGGAAACAAGTGATGAGGAAAAGGCTGAGGTGCTTAATGCCTTCTTTGCCTCAGTGTTTAATAACAAGACTAGTTGTATTGAGGGAATCCAGCCTCCTCAGCCAGAAGACAGAGGCTGGCAGAATGACACCCCCCCCAAATCCATCATTTACCAGCAGTCCTGGCTGACCAGGGAGGTCCTGACTGACTGGAAATCGGCCAATGTGATGCCCATATATAAGAAGGGTCTGAAGGATGATCCAGGAAATTACAGGCCTGTCAGCTTGACTTCAGTGCCCGGGAAGCTGATGGAGCAGCTCATCCTGAGTAACATCATACAACACACGTGGGACAACCAGATGCTCAGGCCCAGTCAGCATGGGTTTATGAAAGGCAGGTCCTGCCTGACAAACCTGATCTCCTTCTACGTCAAAGTGACCTGCTTATTGGATGAGAGAAAGGCTGTGGATGTTGTTTACCTTGACTTTAGTAAGGCCTTTGACACTGTTTCCCACAGCATTCTCCTGGCAAAACTGACTGCTCAAGGCTTGGATGGGCACACGCTTTGCTGGGTAAAAAACTGTCTGGATGGCCGGGCCCAAAGAGTTGTGGTGAACGGAGTTAAATCCAGCTGGCGGTCGGTCACGAGTGGTGTCCCCCAGGGCTTGGTGTTGGGGCCACTCCTGTTTACCACCTTTATTGATGATCTAGACGAGGGGATCGAGTGCACCCTCAGTCAGTTTGCAGGTGACACCCAGTTGGGTGGGAGTGTTGATCTGCTCGAGGGCAGGGAGGCTCTGCAGAGAGACCTGGACAGGCTGGAGCCATGGGCTGAGGCCAACTGCAGGAGTTTCCATAAGGCCAAATGCCGGGGGCTGCCCTTGGGCCACAACAACCCCCAGCAGCGCTACAGGCTTGGGGAGGAGTGGCTGGAGAGCTGCCAATCAGAGATGGACCTGGGGGTGTTGATTGACAGCCGGCTGAACAGGAGCCAGCAGTGTGCCCAGGGGGCCAAGAAGGCCAATGGCATCCTGGCTTGTGTCAGCAATAGCGTGGCCAGCAGGGACAGGGAAGGGATCTTGCCCCTGTACTCGGCACTGCTGAGGCCACACCTCGATTCCTGTGTTCAGTTTTGGGCCCCTCACTCCAAAAAGGACATTGAATGACTCGAGCGTGTCCAGAGAAGCGCAACGGAGCTGGTGCAGGGTCTGGAGCACAGGTCGTACGAGGAGCGGCTGAGGGAACTGTGGGTGTTTAGTCTGGAGAAGAGGAGGCTGAGGGGAGACCTCATCGCCCTCTACAGCTACCTGAAAGGAGGTTGCAGAGAGCTGGGGATGAGCCTCTTTAACCAAGTAACAAGTGACAGGACAAGAGGTAATGGCCTCAAATTGCACCAGGGAAGGTTTAGACTGGATATTAGGAAGAATTTCTTTACAGAACAGGTTGTTAGGTGTTGGAATGGGCTGTCCAGGGAGATGGTGGAGTCCCCATCCCTGGAGGTGTTTAAGAGTCGGGTTGACATAGCACTGAGGGATCTGGTGTAGTCGGGAACTGTCAGTGTTGGGTTAATGGTTGGACTACATGATCTTCAAGGTCCTTTCCAACCTAGATGATTCTGTGATTCAAGGGTGAAAAATTTCCACTGTTTGAAAGTTTTGCAAAGTCACATGAGGATCTTCAGATGTGAACTGCTGGACACTCTTTCCTGTTGCCAGTTCTGTGTATGGTACTACTCAGAAAAATCTAAACATAACTCAGTCAGAAATTGTTGCTTTCTGACCCAGTTTTATGATTGAAACATTCTTTTTTCCTTAAGGCATATCACTTCATTTTTCCAACTGTAAAATAAAGATCATAGAATTACAGAGTCATAGAATGGTTTGGGTTGGAAGGGACCTTAAAGATCATCTAGTTCACCCCCCCTGCCATGGGCAGGGACACCTTACGCTAGCCCAGGTTGCTCAAAGCCCCGTCCAACCTGGCCTTGAACACTGCCAGGGAGGGGGCAGCCACAGCTTCTCTGGGTAACCTGTGCCAGTGTCTCACCACCTTCATGGTAAAGAATTTCTTCCTAATGTCTAATCTAAATCCACCCTCTTTCAATTTAAAACCATTACCCTTTATCTTATCACTACAATCTCTGATAAAGAGTCCCTCCCCATCTTTCCTGTATCCCCCTTTACGTACTGGAAGGCTGCTCTAAGGTCTCCCTGGAGTCTCTCCAGGCTGAACAGCCCCAACCCTCAGCACCTCTCATCAGGGAGGTGCTCCAGCCCCCATGATCACCTTTGTGGCCTCCTCTGGACTCACTTGAGCAGATCCATGTCTTTCTTATGTTGGGGACCCCAGACTTGGACACAGTACTCCGGGTGGGGTCTCACGAGGGCAGAGTAGAGGGGGAGAATCACCTCCTGCTGGCCACATTTCTCTTGATGCAGCCCAGGATACGTTTGGCTTTCTGGGCTGTGAGCACACATTGCTGGCTCATAATCAGTTTTCCATCCACTAATACCCCCAAGTCCTTCTCCGCATGCTGCTCTCAAGCCACTTCATCCCCCAGCCTGTGTTTGTGCTTGGGATTGCGTGACCCATGTGCAGGAACTCTCACTTGGCCTTGTTGAACTTCAGGAGGTTCACATGGGCCAACCTCTCAAGCCTGTCAAGGTCCCTCTGAATGGCATCCCTTCCCTCCAGCATGTCGACTGAACCTCACAGCTTGGTGTCATCAGCAAACTTGCTGAGGGTGCACTCAATCCCACTGTCCATCTCACTGACAAAGGTGGTAAACAGTTCCAGTCCAAATACTGAACCCCAAGGAACTCCACTTGTCACTGCTCTCCACATGGACATCTAGCCGTTGACCACAACTCTGATTGCAACCACTCAGCCAGTTCCTTATCCACTGAGT